ACAGGAAACTGAAAAATAACTTACTCTGTATTGAGATGTCATCTTAGAAGAATTCTAGAGCCTGTTTTATGGACTTTTTTGACAAGAAAAGGTAATGTTTTGTCAGTTAGCAACCAAATCAACACGAACAACTAGAACCACGACCCACAAAGCAAACGGTCTGTCTATTACACAGGGAACCCAGTTGTAAGTGTGAGGAGGACGAAAGTTTAAAATATAGATTTTCAGAAATGAACCAAAAAAAAGTTACATGTACGTTTTTTAGCAATGTGATAAAAATTATCAAAAACTTCTTGGAAATGTGGATAAAACGCAGGAAGCCCATACAATACTGATAATGTGGAAGACTGAATGAAAACATTTTAATGATAGATTGCTGCCTTTGGAACCCAGGCGTAATCTTCTGTCATATGCTCCTCACTCCCAGAAATAAAACTACATAATATTACTAAATAGTATCCTCGATTCCGAGGATGCTTGGATTGGTACTTCGTGTTTTACTTATCGGGGGTGGATGTAAGGGTGGTGCAGTGGGGTGGTACCGCACATTTTTAGGAAGTTCCTACTTAAATTCCATATAGAAATACAAATTCACATGACCAACATGATTCAGATGGTAGACCAACACAAGACAAATCTTATCATCATTGCATGGGCTTCCTGTGGACAAAATTTATTTCTTCAATGGGACKAAACATTTTAGCCTGCTTTCAGCCAAACCAAAATTCATTTGTTACCCTTTTAATTYTATAATTACATTAATACGAGCCAATGAGTGCAAAATTACATACAACAAGTGGTTGCATTGAGATGCCTGCAACTGTACTAGAGCAATCATTTGACTTAATGAGTCAAGTCTAATTTCAGAATAACGAGACACATGTTATTTGTATCTTCCCTCATTAATTATTGATTTTGATATTGATTACAACATTGCAAGTTATGAGTGAATCCAATGTCATCAATGTGCAAGTGAAACAATGAAGAAAAAGAGCTCAGTTGGTATACCTATTGCTTCCATCACAAAATGTGTTTACATCAAGGCTGGGTCATTGAAAGCCTTTCTTCATTCATTAACTATACATAATATATATAATACCAATTAAGCTTTGAAACTTTTTGATCCTAAAACATAAGTAAGTTAAGTTAGCCCTGATAAATATGACTCTCAGTCATCATCTCATTTGTACTATAAAAGAAAACAGCAACATTGTACTATAAAAGAAAACAGCAACATTGTACTATAAAAGAAAACAGCAACATTGTACTATAAAAGAAAACAGCAACATTGTACTATAAACGAAAACAGCAACATTGTTTTATCAAGGATAATAACTCAAGCACAGAGAGGGTTTTTGTTGCTTGATAAAACACTGCTGCTCCTTTTATATGTAGCTTAAAAAACTAAYATAGCATAAAACACTAATTTCAGACTCTTACGTTATTTCAAGATTTTCACAGAAATGTTTGAAACCTTGACTCATGAGTAAAATGTGGCAATTTTACCATGCTCAAATTTCTTTACAAGACACACTTGTTGCCCCACATTGAATACATGTCACAAAAATACTCATAACTGATGACTTTTCCGTTTGAATTGGTTGAGACCTTGAATAGGTCAATGATGAGAGACTGGTGTATAATAGTGCGTATTATCTGTGTTTTTGTGTGATGTGCTTAGCAAATTAATACATGTGACTTTGATTCCTCAATAGTCTCCTTCACGGTTACCTGCGCCATCTTGAAAGGTAGCCGTGCCTTGTCATCGAAGTGAGACGACCGTTGAGCGTGCAATGAGAGAAACCTTCTTTCACACCTATAGACAATTATTCACAGGTATCTATCATTGCACGCTCAACGGTCGTCTCACTTCGGTGCAAAGGCACAGCTACCTTTCAAGATGGCGCAGGTATCCGTGAAGGAGACTATTGGCCAAATAGCCTATTTAAATATATCTGACATCCTATAGTATTTCTACATTTGACTGAGCTAGTCACGTAGCAATGCAAGCAATGCTAATCAAATGTGTCCTWCTACTACCTAAAACCGAAGTTTATAGATAAAATCACACTTTTAAAGTTAGAATGTCTATATCATGCCACGCATGTTTATCTTACTAAGTTTGTAATGGACAAGAAAAAATTGCAGTTTGGATATCTTTAGAGTATAAGGTCGTTCCAGTGTGGTTTCAGTACCACCAAGCAAGTAGGTCCTTCACTATACTCTCCCCCCTTGAAAGGATACATGCCCATAGAAGATTACAATWCCCTAGTACATAGGTTTTCCTAACAACTCTGGTACCCACATATACACCTGAATGAACTGTGGCATTGTTTAAGTATGAAGTTTTTTATAAAGTTACAAAATAGATGTGAGTAGTTCTCCAGGTACTGTAATGACACAGCAAGCAAAGCCCTCCATCGCTGTCTTCATTCTGGTTAATACCTCCCATTGACTCTTTACTGTGTYGTAATACTCCACCCCATGCAGCTCTCGACCCTTGTTCACTCCACCAAATATATAGAGTTTATCCTTGATTGCAGCTCCATTGGAGTGTGCTCGAGGGACACACATTGGTGCAATAGCACTCCAGCTATCTGTCTCAGAGGTATATACTTCACAAGCATCAAGGATGTARGGCATGTCAAGGACATCTTGTCCTCCAATGATGTACAACTTGCCATWGAGGTATGAGACAGTGGCTCCTGCTCTACGGCATCGCATAGGTGCCTTTGGTATCCATTCATCTATCTCAGGCTTGTAACATTCACAAGAGTTTAGTGGTTGATAATCTTCGCTACTAAAGCCACCAAGTGCATAGATGTCAGATTCTGTTGCCACTGCACTGAGGTGTGTTCTGGATTCCATCATGTGCTGTACAAATTCCCAAGTATTCAAAGCTGAGTCATAGCGTTGTACAACATTAAGGTGTTGCCCTTGGTTGTCATGGCCTCCAATGGCATAGATATATTTCCCAAGACTTACAATCCCAAGTCCTGCACTTTCTCTTTGGAGWGTCATTACACTGGTCCAGCTATTTGATTTGGGGTCAAACATCTCTGCACTTTTCACTGCTATTTGACTGTCAGTGGATCCTCCAGCCACATATACTCCRCCATCGTGAAACACGGCTCCGTGACTCTTCCTAGCGTGCAACATGGGAGCTAATTCAATGAATTCATTAARATTTGGAAGAAATATCTGGCAATTATCAGTTATTTCGTTGGTTGAAAGAAATCCGCCAATGAGCAATATTCCATTTTGACAGGTACGAGGTTTGAATGGAGGAGATACGCTTTTTCTGCCTGGTTCGGAGCTGAAAAATTCGTCGGTCAATTGTAAAGCTTTCTGACAAGATTCACTATCTTTAACCAACGGTTCTTCTTTCACAACATCAAGAATATAGCAGCGAGGCAGAAAAATCAAACGCACGCGCCCAAACAAAGCGTCGAAGTGTTTCTTCCTGTCTTCAATTTGAAAATTAGTCCATCGAACAACAGCTTCATAGACTTCCACTTCTTTGGTTTCTAAGTCATCACAAGAAACTATAGCCATAAGCTGCTCGATCGAAAGCTTTTCAAATTCTTCAGTTTGTGCTATGGTTGCAAAATGTTCGAGTGTGTACTTTTGTGCGCAGTCTCGCAAATCCCTAAAATTGTATTTCTCGGCGATGGMAATCACCCCTAAGCAGTTAGCAGCTGTCAAATTCYGGCTGACATATTCAGTCCCCATCTGTTTTAGCTTAGGAAGAAACATGTAATCTGCAGCCACTGTGAGCTCAATGGCGTTGGATTCCGATATCTCTACACTCCCAGAATACAAATATGTAAGGATATCCTCCATAACTTGAGTGCTGGGTTCTTTGATTTGAATTGTATTATCTTGGCTTTCCTTCATGTCGCTTGTAAAAAGCGCTCGAAAGTAAGGACTCGAAGCGGCCAGCACATTTCGATGAGCTTTAAAAAGATTTCCTCGAACGTTCAAAGTCACATCACAGAGAAAACCTTCTTTTCTAAAGTCATTCATCTCTTTAAGCACATTTTCGCTAAAGTGGGMGTCTTTTTTTGCCATGTTCAAAAATACTGGTGGATCCACAGTGCTCGATCGAATGGACGAAGAAAAAATGCGTGAGGTGCAATGGGGGACTGGAGTAAAGTAACGCAAGTGGACGCAAGTGAAAACGGAATGTCACACAATTCTTTTTGGAGATTTCGATTCAGGTTCCTCTCTAGGCCAGTGTAATTCTAACTTTTTCTAATTTTTMTTTCAAATTTCTCATCCTCATAAATCTTTCGGAACAACTGAACTATATTTATCCAAAAAATGAACAAAAAAGGCAACMAACAAAAAACGTTCACACATACATAAGAGCAAGGAAGTCAAAAATTGTGCATTAYTTTTGAGTGAAATTTTCAATGAAATTTTGTGCTAATATTATTAGATCTATTATTCTGGTTAACATAGAAACGATATCCGCTGATCTCTTCSAGGCTCAAGTTTTTGCCCWATAGCACTGTGGGATAGCAGCACGCTCTTCGTMGCCGCCATGTTGCTTTTTTGAATGCGAGGATATGACAAAATAACCTCTGGAATTTAGTGTTATTCTAAAGATTTCAAAATGGTTGACATGGAACCCGTTAGGCAGTTTAACAGCGAGGTATTCCTGTTTGTTTGCATTTATTCTTTGTGTGAAGATAAGTTGTGTCTGGACGTTGTTTTCCGACTTCCAAGGCCGAGTCTCCGGCTTTTTCGAAAGTTTTAGCTTTGACTTTTTTTTTCTCAGCTATCAACAATCTACGAGACAAAACCACCGATCTCTAAAGGAAAGGTCGCTTCYATCACACGTCTAGCTGTTAAGGCAATTAAGGTAGTTGTTGTACTTTGATGTTAGGGTACGTTGTCAGTAGGATGGCACGTGTTGGCATCAGCTTCATGCTATTAACTATAAAACCTTCCTTCTGTTTTAGTATTACAAACATGTGGTCCAAAGCGTGGAAAAGTTCACCCAGAAAGTAAGTTTACAAAATCATGGTATCTCTATGAATCTTAATAAATGTCAAAGCGGAATGGACTTGGCTTATGTTAGCTTATTTCGAAATCGACATTGTCGTGCAGCATTGCAAACAGTTTTAATTATTATTTTAAATGAGCAGCTTTGTGTCATGATTCCATATTTTCTATGGCACATGTGACACTTAATATGCAAATCACAAAAAAAAGATCCTTAAAAATTTTGTCTTTTTTCCCCACATACATGTACTCCTGGCAAGTCATAGTACAAAGTGATCACATGATCAACTTACACTTCACTAAAGCAATCAGACATGTTATTGCTTAATTGATTTCCATGCTAGGAATATCCATATACTGCACCAGGTTAAAAGGAAGCCATTGTTGCAAAATCTTCAGGGACTATTACCCTAATATCAAAAATCATGCATTTAGATTACCGGTATTTCTTTAACTTGTCTTTGTCATTTAGAAATTCTTTGATATTTTARCACTAAATATATCTTGCATTTTCTATGTTGAAATCTAAAATTTTGTGAAAAAAGGGATGGTTTAAAGAAAAAATAGCTTTAACACCTTGCTAAAGTTTAGAATATACAATGCAAAACAAATATGTAGACCTTTTATGCCATGTGGGATTTATGCAGTTTCAAGAGTACAAATTGTTACATTTTGTCGTTTTGTTTGATTGACAGTTGAATTCAATTGATGTGATTATAAAAGTTGTAAAATGTTATCTAAACATGACATTATAGAATCAGTTGTGTGACAAGACAATTTTTACACAGAAAAAAAGTAGGTGAAATAACTTACTGACGTTTCGGACGTTAATCCTATGTGAGAGTAAAGAGATGGAACTAGGCTAAGTGTGAGTTTATATGAATGAGAGGAGCAAAGAAAGTAGACCAACTATTTTCTGTATATCTTGATGTGTTTTCCTAGTGTCGGCAAGAATATAAAGTACCAGCTTTATACATTATTGACTCAATAATTCGCCAATCAAGACATCAGGTAATGTATCAAATGATACTAGAATTACCAGTTATCTGCCATATTATTCACTAAAGTCTTCCCCACATAACAATGCACAGTGTGTAAAGCTCATTATATTTGAGTCACTGTAAATCCCCTGTCTCATCCATGACTCCTGGAGGTTGAGTGTGATCACAAATCCTCCACATTATCCTGACTAATCCCCACCTTGTACCAGGGGGAGGGGGAGAGGGCAGGGCAGGGTTTTTGATTGACCTAAAGTGGGCTGAAGAAGGTAAAAATACATGTATACATAATGTAATGTGTTTGAGTTTGTGTTTGTTTTTGCTTGTTGTTGTAGTTTTTCAATATGATATTATTAGTTATACTAATAATATTTTTGCTGGTTTACATTTGTATAGTTTGGAGCAGACAAGGATGTTTTTGGTCCTAGGTTTGGAAAGAGTATAGCCATGACATTCCAACATCTCTATAAATGTCCTGTAGAAGATCAGGTACGATGTTCATAAATACTATTTTACTGCAAGTAATAAGTTCAGCAWATTGACCTCACAAACCCTACTCTATGCAGCTGGTTTTATTGATTTGTAACTATGATCGCCATCTAGAAGGATATCTAGTCATTCATGATAACATTAMTTTACAATGCATTTTTGTTATAAATTATATTTCTAACTAATTCTGATATCTTTGTTTAGGGAAAGATAGTCAAAGTGTTGAATCTTTGGCAAAAAGGAGGTGTTTACCCTCCTGAAGTTGTTCAACCACTGCTAAACATGGCTAAACAGAGTCAGAATCAAGGTGAGAATATTAGATTCCCATCACCAACCAACATTCCTTACAAGCCGTTGTTTATGTTTTTAGAATTCAAATGCATTGTGAAAAAAAAGTTATATCTGTATGGTCTATTAATCCAAACATTGTTAGATTCTGTCTTAAAGACTTATGGATGGAAATAACTGTACAATCACAGATGGCACAGATGCGCTCAATTTAAATTTGATATCTCAATGATAAAAGATCCAACCCAATTAATCATGTCTTATGATTGGTTGTTTGTCTTGATAGAAACATCAGAAAGCTTAGACAATGCCCAGTCAACAGTACATGACGGTAATATGGACATTAAACCAGGCAACCCTCATGGAAATGGTAATTTTGTCAGTGTATTGCAACAACAACAGCAACAGCACCTTGAACAGATTGAACAGCTAAGACGCCAGCTTCAAGAACAGCAGAGTATCAACCAACAGCAACAACAACAACTTGCACAACAACAAATGGTTGACCCATCAGCACCATCCATGTCAGTTGGCAATCAACCCATGACGTTTCAAAGTCCACAAATCCAGCAGGTTGTTCCCCAGGAAGTCATGCCAGGACAACAAATGATATTACCAGGCAGCCAGCCACAGGAGGGGGTTTTACAGGGTAACCAGCCAGGCGATACAACCAATGAACAACCAAGGTTCCAGCTTCAACCGCATGTACTTGCACAAATCCAGGCACTAACAGGTATTTGTTTGATAGAGGAAATAAGGTACTTGTGCAGTTCAATAGAATATTGTATCAATTACAGGAATGAATATCCGTCTTCCTCAACCAAACCAAGGTGAAGTTCAAGGTCTTCATGAAAATCAACAGCAACCAACCAATTTAGCTGACCAGAAAGCACCATGGGCTCRTCCTGCTATGGGACAACCAGGTGCACAACCAGTAGAGGGTGTTTTACATGGTAAAGAACAGGTAAAGTATAATACAARTTGAATTGTGATGAGAATCATAGCACATACGTGTATATGACATTGTATACGTGTACACTGTACATACAACCAACCAGTGATATTAGCAACACTCTTATTTCCTACTCTTGTACTAGGATATCACCTGATAGATTGTGAAAAACAAAATACAAACTAGATTTGTCTCAAAATAAAATTCTTCACTTCAAAAATACAGTAGTTATGAAAATGCATGTGATAGAGCAAGCTTTTGATGGGTAYCAACTGACACAACTCATTTAGTGATCATAAATATACAACCAGTCATTGCTGTTTACATGTAAACCTGCAATCAAAATCAAAAATGCAACAAGCATAATAAAAACTGATATGTTGTGAATTTCAATATTTGTTTAATGCACAGAATATGATAGATGACTTTGATTATGGTGATGAACAAGACGATGCCACTAGACTAGCTGAACAAAGAAGGCATTTAATGGAGGAAGAACGGCGATTAAGTCAAGAGTAAGCAGCRATTGAAATATGTTCACTCTGAAATAGCCATCTAAATTGTCCAAATTAGTGTTTTGTGCAAGTACAGATCCTTTTTGTCCATTAGATTTTCAGCAGTCTGTCCTTTTTTATAACCTAACCTTTGCRTTAGAAATGAATACTTATTAATTAGTCTTCTTATTTTCTTATTGTTCAGGCAAATGTCCAGTGAACGAGGTGAGATATTGTCCTATGTCTGTATAAGTTCATCATTGTTCCTTAAGTAGGAATGCGTTCACCCAATTAAATGGATGCTCACCAGCATAGTTGGCTTCATAGCTCAGTTGTTAGAGTGCTGCACTGCATCGCAGAGGTCTTGGGTTCCCTTTGAAGCCCCAATTTTTTGGGGTGTTTCATTTGTTAACAATTGCTAGATTGTAATTAACTGCGTAGGTCACAATTCACTCATTACAGATATGTCTATATTGCTATATAGTTTTTCATTGGTTATGATGACAATAAGAGACGGGCGGACAAAMAAGGCATGTGCCTAGAATGTTGATAGTCTCTTTTCTGAACTCAAGTATTCATAAAATGAATAACAAACATTCTCATCAAAAGCTAAATAAGTAATGATCATGATCTTTATACTTTGTAGATCGTCATAGAGACAGATCTCCAAGACGGCGATCCCAGTCACCATATAGTAGACGAAATAGATCACCAAGACGTCGTTCTCCACGCCGCAGATCCAGATCACCAAGAGGAGACAGGAGCAGAAGGGATAGAAGCAGGGATAGAGGGCGTGACAGGGGGAGAGAAAGAGAAGAAGAAAAA